GTGAGAGAGAAAGAACATGAGAGTGAGGGAGGGGAGAGGCAGAGGGAAAAGCAGACGCCCCACTGAGCAGAGAGCCCAACCTGGGGCTCTATCCCAGGACCCTGGAATTATGACCTGAGCTGAAGGCAGACGCTTAACTGACTGAGCCACCCAGGGACCCCAGCTGCTGTCATTTTCTGTTAACTGAAAAGCAAAGATTTCCCCTATGCCCTACAATCTTTCAGAGTACTCTTTTCCTCTGAGAGAATTGAATTCTACTTCAGCTATCTTAGATAATGTTTAATGATAATTTGTTGATTTATTGAGATACATTGTATTCATTATGAACAAGAGCTGGAATATATGTTCACATGTTGGTTCTGTTTGCTTCCCAGCTGTGAACCTTGGGCTTCTTTATTTAGCATTTCTGTGCCTCAGTTTCCAGGCATTCAAATGGTGGTAATAATAGTACTTTTCTCATGCTTTGTGAAGATTAGATGAGGTAATCCATGCAAAGCACTTGGAACGTATGATGAGCACTTAGTAGCTGATTTAACTGTTACTAACACATCCAGTACTAGTTCTTACTATCTATTAAATGCCTACTGTGTACCAGGCTCTTCAGAGCCATTTTCTGATTGAATTCTTAACCTTATGAAATAGGTATACTATCACCATTTTATGGATGAGAAAAGCAGAGGCTTAGAAATCAAGTTATTTGTAAGAGGTATACAGCAAAATGTAGTTTGAACCCAAACTGCAGTCCAGGTTCGTGTACCTCTCACTCCTGACTGTGACCTAATTGTGTTCTGCCCCGCTGAGTGTGCTTTGGTCTTCATTTGACAGAGCACGTGCCCAAACAGGGAGAGGAAGAAGCAGGTCCCCCAGCCCAGCAGAGAGCCCAATACGGGGCTGGATCCCAGGACCCTGGGATCATGACCTGAGCCAAAGGCAGACGCTTAACCAGCAGAGCCACCTGCAGCCCTCATTATAATTCATATTAAATTTTTGTTGACTGGTATTTTGTTACTATAAATGGAATCTAAAACCTCACATCACCTGTGATGACACTGTCTTAAACCTGATTACAGACAATGCTCAGTCAGTTGAGTGTCTGACCTTGATTTTGGCTGAGGTCATGATCTCAGGGTCGTGCGATCAAGTCCCATGTTGGGTTCCATGCTGGGCGTGGAAACTGTTTGGGATTCTCTCCCTCTCCCCTGGCTTATGGGTACACGTATGTGCTGTCTCTCTGTTAAAAAATATATATGTGTGTGTGTGTGTGCGCACACACACACACACACACATATGTTTTTTTTTTTTGTAAAAATAAATTTTAAAAACTTATATACAAGCATGGGATTCAGACACAGAATGGCACTAGCATGTTGGAGGAGGAAGGGCTCAGCGTGGGCTGGAACTGACAAGTTTCAGGGAGGAGGAGAAGGAAAGCTGGGCTTTGTTGAGTGCACTGGACACTGAAAAACATCATAGTTGGGATCCAACAGTTAATGGACCAATCTGGTTAGAACTATAGGGTGGGAGATAGTGGGAAGAGAAGGTTGAGTGAATTATTGGTGACAAATACTACATTGTGAAACCTTTTTATAACTCACATGTTTACTGAGCACTTTTGTTAATGAATCACTTCTGTGTTTTATTGTTAGAAAAATATTTTCGTTAATGTTCTTCAAGATGATCTTTCCAGTACAGAAAGGAAAGCAACCTGTAAAAATAGTTTCCTCTCTGTGATCCCCAGGAGCAGCTTTTTCATTTAACAAAGACCTGGGGAATCTATTTGAGCTTAGCACCAGGCTGCAGACTTCACAAGGAATGAGCTGATGGTCTGCGTCCTGGCCATGGAGACTCCGTCCAGGGAGACAGGGCTTCTCACCAAACTTACACTACTCCTGGAAGAAACTGTCAATAACTCTTGAGTTGCTCCTTCCGGCAAGTTCTTCATTATGTGTCACTTAAGTTAAGCAGTCTGGTGTGTGGCTCATCCTTGGCTGGGATGTTGGGTGATGGGTTCAAGCCTCTATTCATGGTGTCACTTTTCTCAGCTGGGAAGTGGGTAGATCTAAAACGGGTTTGTGGGATGCCTGGCTGGCTCATTCAGAAGATCCCATCACTCTTGATATCAGGGTCATGAGTTCGAGCCCTACGTTGGGTGTAGAGATAACTAAAATAAATAAAACCTCTACAAAAATAAAAGGGGTTTGTAATTTGTGCAGCACAGTCCAGATGTGAGTCGCAGGCATACCTACAAATTACTCTGTTCTCTTGATTCAAATTGGAAGACCTTCTGACTTTGAGAGTACTGTTTTTGAAGCATACTTTGATGTATCCATGTTTATACAGAAAACCACTCTACTGCTTTATTTCTAAAGGAATAATACATAGCAGGATTGATAAGTTTCTTCTTTTCTGGAGAGCCTGCCAAAGTCAGATTCCTGGGCCTTACCTCAGACTCATCCAATCAGACCCTTCTAGGGTAGATCCTAGGAATCTGCATTCCAACGTGCATCCCAGGTGGTTCTGATACCAGAGACTTTCAGGAATTAGGAACCACACATCTGAGTTCTGGTCCTCTTTTGCTTGGACCTCCAGAACTTTCCAGGTAGAGGCCAGAACAGGGCTTGGCATTGGCACCATGGAGGCTCATAGGACATCAGTGAATAGGAATGCTTGGTTTGACGAAAACAATGCTAAGTGTTACATATACATAGTGGTGCCTGCCCTCAAGGAGATCTTATCTGTTCATATAGCGATAAGAATCTACCCATGAAAAATACTCAAATGGAGCCGTAAATTAAAAATCATGACACGTGCTTTGAGAGAAGATGGAGGCATTTGATACAGAATGAGAAATCATCCACAGTCAGGATAGAGTAGTAAGTGAATAGAGAGATCTGAAGGCTGACTGGAAAAATAAGAGAAACATACAGAATTGTACTTGTCCAATATGGTAATCACTCTTTCGCTGTGATTTACAGTTAAGATAAAATTATACAAAATAGAAAATTTGGTAGGTTCACTGAAATTGAACACTTTTTAAAAATTTAATGTCTAGGGGCGCCTGGGTGGCTCAGTGGGTTAAGCTGCTGCCTTCGGCTCAGATCATGATCTCAGGGTCCTGGGATCGAGTCCCGTATCGGGCTCCCTGGGGGGGAAAAAAAATTAATGTCTAAGCTCCATTAGCTCCATTTCAAATGCTCAGCAGCCTCATGTAGCTACCATATTAGACAATGCAAAAGTAATCCATTTTTTATCATTTCAGAGAATTCTCTTGGACTGCCCTGATCTGGGCCAGGGGTGGAGAACCAAGTCTGGTACTCTGCCGATTTTTGGAAGATTAACAATGGCGGGGTTTTTGCAGTCGGGGTAGGGACTGGATAGCCAGCCCACAGAGCCTGAATATTCTGTGGCCTTTCATTTAAGAAGCACATGAGGGAGTAGGTTTAACGTGGCTGTCTAGAGCAAGGAAAGCAGGTGAGCTGCTTGTATAGTGCCACTCTCGCGACACAGATTTCAAATGCTGCAAGAGAGGGACAGTGAGATCACATTGCTTTGCCCCCATGCACAGAGGCAGCTGCTGATGTATGAATTTATTCTTTTCTCTCCATCTGTGGTTTTTGAGGCAGTGGTCTCTTGTCTAGACAAATTGGAGCAAGTCCAAGGAAGAGCAACCACGTTGGTGAAGCAACTGTGTCCTTGGAGGTACAGTTGACAATGTTGATGGAATTCTGTCCTGGGTTGGAGGCTGAACTAAAGTTCTCTTAAAATCCAGTTAACTCTTCGAGATGATATGTATTCCAAAGAAAGCTGTTTAACTTTCGTTTTGGAACCCAATGCACCATGTAATGATCTAGTCCCCTTGCTTATGCAATCAGTTCGTTGTAATTCTTACGTATTATGAGATGTGATCAACAGACCATCAAAGTTCATGTGAATAATCCAGTGGATCTTGACTTTTAGGACTGTTTCCTCCAGGTCATAAAGCTTCTCTACCTGTGTAAATGGAGTTTCATCAAGCCTACTTTTTAGCTGAGGTGTACGTTTTAACACAAATTTTAAAAACCCTAATTTCAGATTGAGTTAATTTCGTGGGGAACTCTTACAGATTTCAGGAGTCTTATCAGCATATGAAATTCTAAATGGGTATTTAGAAATTTAAGATTTTTGGCTTTTGTTACTTCTAGATTAAGTTCACATAAAAAGTCTGATAAGAAAAGAAGTACTCATAGGGAATACATAAGGTTGAGATGGTACATTTTCCTCTAATTTTTTTGTAGCTTATTGTTTGCTCTAGCAAATGAGTCACTGATTACACTAGTATTTATTTATCAGCAACTAGTCTTAAGAGTACTAGCATTGTTCTAGCTCTAGTCCTTGCCATTGTACTACCATTGGAAATCAAAAAGACCTTGACCTTATTTACATTACAATCCAGGATGTGCAAACTCTGTGTTCTACACCACAAGAGGAACTTTTTTGTATTTTTTTTTTTTAATTTCTTCCTTAGATAAGAAAGTTGAGGCTCAGAAAAATTGGAGTTTGTCTAGAGTCACATGTTTAATAGTGACAGAGCAGGGAATCAAGTCTAGATGTTTCCTACTCCACAAACATTCTTTTTCCTTCACTACTCACTATTTTTGTTCTTTTTCACGGTTTTCAGATAAGATAAAGACTTGTTTCATATATACCATCAGAGCTTAAGTCTGAATTTTGTCAAATCTGTTTTCTGTATGATTTTACCTGACTCAAATTCATTACAGTGAGAATTGGATCAAAGAATGGTTATTTTTTTTTTAATCTCCTTAGAACTGAGCTTGATTTCTAAAGCCTTGTAGAACACATATTTTTTCCCATACTGTTCTGAAGTGATTTTTTCCAACTTTTAAAATCTAAATCATAATTTACTGTTTATGAGCTTCCCTCATATGCAATATGAATTATCTTATTTTTTTTAATTTAATAACCACTAAATAAATATTGCTAATTCTCTTCTATTGTTTCAGATTTGATGGGAACTTTAATACCAATGTATCTAGAACAATTAGTTGCGATCGACTTTCTACCACTGTTAATAGCCGGGCCTTCAATCCAGGACGAGATTTAAATTCAGGTCAGTAATCTCTTGGTTTATAAAGGTAAACTATAGTCCATCTAATTCAGGTTGAATAAATGTATCGCTTTAGACATTTTCCTTTAAGCTTTGAAGAGAAAATATCATCCACAAAATTGGATATTTCTGGAAAGTTGACACTCAAAAGAGGGAAAGGAAGAAGAAAAGAGCTGACCTGTATTGAGCATTTACTATATAGAGTACATATGGCTAGATTCTTCATTATCTCATTTGTTAGGGGTTTTACACTTGTTATTTCAAAGATTATTTTGGAGACCCAGTTATCTTTGCAGTAAAAAGTATTGAATTTATATTCCCTACTTGTAATTTTCAGTTTGTTTTGGTGTTTTGGGAAGAAGGATAAGGGAGCATTTCTACTAATAAACAGTGCCATGATGCTATATATTGAAGTTGAACTTTGTTCTCACTTTTGTTAAAACTTAGTAGTAATAACTACTAGAGCACCTGAATATATAGTTCTATAGAGTTCCAAAGGGACGTCGTATCTCTGCTTTCTTGTCCTGGTGCTCCAGTTTATATTTCTCACCCTTTTTGTCTTGTTATGTGCATTTGCACCTACCAGTTTCAGTCCTTGAATTTTACCAAGGAAAAATCTGAGACTCAGAAGGATCCTAAGGTTTCCCTTATTACTGCGGAGATAAAGGGTTATCTTAAACACAAAGGACTGTATTTCTCAAATTCCAGGTCTCTTGCAGACATGTAAAACCCTAGAGAAGCTGAGGGAACAGAATATTTACTTTTAGAGCCCCATCAGTCATGGTCAATGGGGAGAATTGTAGCCTTTGGGAGTTGTATACACAAACCAGGTAATAGGTCTGGAAAGAAGGAACTGTAAGCTTTGTCGCTTAAGGATATTAAAACTCTAGCTGCTGGCTAAGTGGTCAACCTAAATATGTCAGGTACATATTGTATAGCCCAATACATAATGGATTTTTTTTTTTTAATTGGTTGAAGAATCTGGAGACCATCTGGAGCAGGTGGGATTAACTATGAGAAGTTCAATGAAAATGTTTTTCATAAATAAGAGAGCATGGAAGGACATGGAATGGGAAGAGGAAATGAATTATGGAAGATTGCATAGTTGGCACAGAACACAGGCCAGAACTTGAATTTTCTTAGTTCCCCAATTCAGTGTTTACCTTTCCCTCAGTTACACTCAGTGACACAAGGCATGTTGGGTCTGAAGACTTCAGCTTGAAATAGCAATTTTTAAAAAAGATTTATTTATTAGAGAGATAGCTTGTGTACGGAGTTGGAGGGGCAGAGGAGAGAATCCCAAGCAGACTGCCTGCTGAGCACAGAGTGACACGGGACTCAATCCCATGACCCATGATGAGATCGTGACCGGAGCTAAAATCATGAGCCAGAGGCCCAACTGACTGAGCCACCCAGGCACCCCAAAATAACAATCCTTGAACAGAATCAGGTATAAATGTGCCCCAGAAATACACATTTTTATGAAGTTAAGAATATGTTAAATGAGTTGATAAGGAAAAAATATAGTCCATTACTACTTTGTATACATAAGACCTAGAGAGGTTCACACATAAACATCAATAGTTACCTTTTAGTGGTGGAATAGGGACATATTTTTCTTACCCATTTTCTTAGTTTTTTAAAGATTTTATTTATTTGAGAGAGGGGGAGACAGAAGCAGGCTCCCCACTGAGCAGGGAGCCTGACGTGAGCCCAGTTTCTGGACCCTCGGATCATGACCTGAGCCAAAGGCAGATGCTTAACCACCTGAGCCACCCAGGTACCCTGATTTTCTTGATTTTAAACTAAGCATGTGTTGCTTTTATAAACGGGGAAATAAAGCAAGAAGGAAGTACGGACTACTTCCCAATGTATTTTCACTCCTTTCTGGTAGACAGCAGCTTTCATGAGACCTGTCTGATGGTTGATCGACCCTTGGTCAGACATCATGGTTCCAGACAAAGCTCCATTGCCCTCTGGCTGTGTGATTGGGACAGTAAGAAAGTGTGGGCTGGGGCCACACTGAGGGTGGTACATGGTCCCTTGGGAGCCTGTCAGGATCCCTCGCCCCAGTGGGCCAGACGTTTGGAGGATTTGGAAGCTGCTGCAGCCGGGGTTCCATCCTCATTGCCTCGTTTTATATCTGTTTGTTGTTCCTAGGGAGTATATTGTTGAGATCACTCTCTGTCATTAATAGTCATATTGTATACCTATTGAGCACCTTCTCTGGTGTAAACACTTTCCTTTGTTCTAAGTCAGCTGTAAACAGCAAAAAGCTTCTATTCTGGGAGCTGGGGGACACAAATCTTAAAGAAAAGGGCAAGTAAACATACATGTCTGAGGGCGACGAATGCTGTGGAGGAAAAGTAACACAGGGATGAGACATAGTGGTACTTTTGGCTGGGAATGGAAGCTAAGGGAGGGAGGAGGGAAAAGAAGGAGACTTACTACTTTATAAAGGGCTCATCAGGGAGATCTGAATTAAGTGGGATTGTAAAACCATAAGAATAACTGAGGAAATGTATCCCAGGCAAAGGGTTTGAGTTAGTGTTTAGTGTGCTCAGTAACAGCAAGAAGGCTACTGTAACTGTGATTCAGTGAACAAGGATTGATCGTAGAGGGAGAGACCAGAGAGGCAGCTGGGGGCCAGATCACCAAGAGCCTTATTTTACTGCCCTCATAAGGACTTTAGCTTTTGCTGTGAATGAGCCAGGAGACCATGGTGGAGGGGAGGTGGGGCCAAGGAGCAAAATGGGCTTATGCAGAGTCACTTGACTAGACTTAGGTTAAAAGGCTTATGGACTGCCATGCCAAGAAAAAGATTATAGCAGGGCAATGGTGGAAGCAGGGAGACCATTTAAGAGATTATTCCAAAATTCAGGTGGCAGGTGGCAGTGGCATTAATAGTGTACTAACAGTGGAGGTGGTTGGATTCTGACTATGCTTTGCAGGTAGGACCGTTAGGATTTGCAGGTGAATTGAATGGTGGTGGGGAGTATATGTAAGAGAAGAGCTGGGAAGGACTTCCAAGATATTTGGCCTTATCAAAGAGAGGGACAGAGTTGACATTTACTGTGACAGCAAATACTGGTGGCTGTCAGGGAGTCAACATCTCAGATGTGGAAATGTGAAGTTTGAGATGCCTATTAGATATCCACGTGGAAAGGTCTCCCAGGCAGTTGGTTATATATGAGTCCGGAGTCTGGGGAATGGGTCAGACTAGAGATTGACCTTTGAGATTCATTGGGTACAGGTAATACTTAAATCATGAGACCCAAAAAGATTACCTAGCAAGTGGCTGTGGGCAGAAAAGAGAAGAGGTTCAGGACTATGTCTTGGGACACTGTAGCACTTAAAGGTCACCAAAATGATGAAGCAGTGAGGGAGTCTGAGAAGGAGGTCAGTCTGGTAGGAGAACCAAGAGAGTCATCTTCTTGAATCCAAGTGAAATACAAAAAAGTATTTTTTTGTATTTATTTGAAATACAAAAAAGTATTTCAAGAAGCCAGGAGAGATCAGCTGGATTAAGTAGGCCCAGTAAGACAAAGGCTAAGAAAACGGACATTGGATTTAGGAACATGGAGGTCATTGATGAATTTGACAGGGTTGTTTGGTATAATAATAGAATGACAGGCTGATCCTGGTTAGTTCAGGCTCTTAAGAATGGACAAGAGGAACTGGAAACAGTAAGTACATGAACTCCCAGGGTTTGTTGAAAGGAAACTAGAGTGCTGTGTGGAGTCCAGAGTGTGTTTTTAAATTGAGAGAAATTACAGCAAGGTTATGTGCCAAAGGGAATGGTCCAGTAGAGGAAAGCTAAAGACCCAAGAGCAAGAGGAGAGAACATTACTGGAGCCTTTTCCTTCATCGGGCAAGAGATGGTGGGATTCCAGCGAGAGAGTCCAAAAACACAGGGTTCATTCTTAACAAGAGGAGGGAAGGAAGAGCCAGGGTGCCGGGATGCCCATAATGATCCAAGTGTCGTGTCAGGAGCTCAGAGACATTCTGTTCTTGGTGATTTTGTTTCCTCAGAGACTTAGGAAGCAAGATCATCAGCTGAGAGTGAGGCAGAGAAAGAGGCCTTGAAGACCTCTTAGTTACAGTAAGTTTATCTTCTATAAATGAGGTTCAGGAGTAGAACTCAGAGCACACGTAATTGGAAATCCTGACAAAATGCTGTTTTATTACAGTAGTTACTTGTGACGGGGGAAAGACTGAAAAGTCAGGAGGAGGAGAGGAAGGAGATGGTGAGGGCAGTGGTATATGGTTAAAGATCACATCTTGAATTTTGTTATTTCTGAAAGCACGTGTCAAGTATCACATCCTACGTAACAAGAGTTGTTCTCGGCACAGTCGACGTAGCTAGATTTACAAGCAGTTTTTGGCCATGTTCAGGTATTTGAGAACGGACTCGCTTGTATTTGAAGTCGTGTGACATTCCACCAAGCAGTGGCTGCATCCCAAAGTCCACATTCTTGAGCAGTCATTTGTAATATAAGAGGAGTGATAGATGGTGGAGGGTGACCTCAGAGCTCCCCCCTTTCCTCCTCTCCAGCTCATGCCCCCTTTCAGAGCAGAATTAATGTACTTCGTGGGCTATCACATGTCTGATATTTACATCTGTAAGACGTCCAGCCTCAGGCTGTTTCAGACTGTATATAATCCATCAATGGGTCCCTAATTGATAACACAGTTTCAGATTGCCTTTCAGACTAGCTGGAAACAGACTCACATAAATTGTAAACCATTCTTAGCTTCACTTACCCAAAACTAGGTCATGTGTCCATCTGTTCAACACACATGTGTATTCTTTTTCTTTAACCCAACCCTGCTAGATCTCGACTTTCTAAATTGACTCCTTGTCCCTGATTCCATTCAAACTACTGGCATTTGACAGTGCACACGTTACATTATGGTGCTGGTAATGTTTTGCTCAGGTTCCTTCCTGCTTTTATCCCTAGTTTCTCTCCCCCCCCCCTCCTTCCCCCTCTTTCTGTCTCTCT